CCGCAGGCCGGCGTGGACCACGTGATTCTGGCCGTGAGCTACATGTCGCAGGTGCTGGAGAAGGAAATGAAGGCGCAGGAGCAGAGGGTGAGGCTTGAGGCGACTCTTGCCCCTTCCGTCGTCCCCGCTCGCCTCCCTGGGGGGCGGGGGGGGGGCGGCGGAACCTGACCCGGCTTCTCCCTTCCAGCTGGGAATCAGAATCTCCATGTCGCATGAGGAGGAGCCTTTGGGGACAGGTCAGTGGAGAAGGGATACCCCTTGTGGGGGAGGGTTTAGGGCTGGGAAAGGGGTGAGGCCCAGCCTGGATGGGGCCCGCTGAGCCTGGATCCAGGGTTCCGACCCCCAGGAAGATGGTGACCTGTTCCCCTCCGCAGCTGGGCCCCTGGCCCTGGCCCGGGACCTGCTCTCTGAGACGGCAGACCCTTTCTTCGTCCTCAACAGTGACGTGATCTGCGACTTCCCGTTCCAAGCCATGGTGCAGTTCCACCGGCACCACGGCCAGGAGGGCTCCATTTTGGTAAGGACCAGGTCCGACACTCCCACCTCCCGGCCCAGCCTTGAACCGCCCAGTCCTCACCTTGTGGGTGCAGAGCTGTGCGGCCTTTAAGCGTTTGCGGCACAGCCGCTGAGATGTAGGACAGCACCCGCCCAAGGTGCGGGGCACCGGGCAGGACCTGAGACCCCCTGCGTTCAGGTGACCAGAGTGGAGGAGCCCTCCAAGTACGGCGTGGTGGTGTGCGAGGCCGACACCGGCCGCATCCACCGGTTCGTGGAGAAGCCCCAGGTGTTCGTGTCCAACAAGATCAACGCGGGCATGTACATCCTGAGCCCGGCCGTGCTGCGGCGCATCCAGGTGTGTAGACGCGGCTCTCGGGTGGGCTGGGAGGGCAGGCCGCCGCCACCGTGCCCCTGCTCACGCGCTGCCCACTCCCACAGCTGCGGCCTACGTCCATTGAGAAGGAGGTCTTCCCTGTCATGGCCAAGGAGGGGCAGCTGTATGCCATGGAGCTGCAGGGTGAGGCAGGGAGGCCGCAGGGCGGGGTGGCCTGTGGCTGGGCTGAGCCCCTGATGCATTCCCTCCCTCCAGGCTTCTGGATGGACATCGGGCAGCCCAAGGATTTCCTCACCGGCATGTGCCTCTTCCTGCAGTCACTGCGGCAGAAGCAGCCTGAGCAGCTGTGCTCGGGCCCTGGCATCGTGGGCAACGTGCTGGTGGTGAGGCCCTTGTCCAACCCACCGTTCACCCCCTCAATCTGGGGGGACAAATGCCCCACGTGTGCTTTCCCCACCGTCCTCAGGATCCAAGCGCCCGCATTGGCCAGAACTGCAGCATTGGCCCCAACGTGAGCCTGGGTCCCGGCGTGGTGGTGGAGGACGGCGTGTGCATCCGGCGGTGCACGGTGCTGCGCGACGCCCACATCCGCTCCCACTCCTGGCTGGAGTCGTGCATCGTGGGCTGGCGCTGCCGCGTGGGCCAGTGGGTAAGCGTCGGGGCTAGGCCGTGGGGGGAGGGGCCGGGATGCGCCCGCCTCCCTGACAAGGCCTGCCCTCCCCCCAGGTGCGGATGGAGAACGTGACGGTGCTGGGTGAGGACGTCATAGTTAACGACGAGCTCTACCTCAACGGGGCCAGCGTGCTGCCCCACAAGTCCATTGGCGACTCGGTGCCGGAGCCGCGAATCATCATGTGAGGGGCTGCCATAGCCCCGTTATTGGCAAGGGGGCACTGGCTTGACGTGTCATAGGCCCTGGACTCGCTACCATGTCTGGGGAGGCCTGGACAAGGCGGAAGCAGTCGGACACCTACCTTCTGTGCACACAATCTGGCAGGGTCCTTGCTGGGCACACCCCACCCCGCCCACTCCCTCAAGAAGGGCCGGGTCAGGGCTGTTTGAATAATAATTTAATGCTCACAGTGGCCCTGACTGGAAGTCGAGCGTCATAGGCCCTGGACTCGCTACCATGTCTGGGGAGGCCTGGACAAGGCGGAAGCAGTCGGACACCTACCTTCTGTGCACACAATCTGGCAGGGTCCTTGCTGGGCACACCCCACCCCGCCCACTCCCTCAAGAAGGGCCGGGTCAGGGCTGTTTGAATAATAATTTAATGCTCACAGTGGCCCTGACTGGAAGTCGAGCTCAGGCACAATGAGGGCTGGGCGCCATGGGG